GAAGTAGGCCAAAGTAACAGTGGGGATTTGCAAATGGCGGGAATGGTTCCCCTACGGCAGAAATGCTTTTTGTGCTCTGGTGCCACTGATTTCTCGTGCCTGATAATCACAATTTGATTACATCAAGGGATGTGGGCCAGCTGCCATCATTATTACAGCGAGATGAGAATTTTGAACAAATGCGAATCAGATTTGTAAATAACACTTCTTATCGTCCACCATTATATCCTAATTATATTTTTTTTATATATTTTCATTCTATAACATTTTATATCCAAAGACTTGAAATGTATGTTTTTCTTTCAGGCTTGTAACTTTTTTTCCCCCAAGCCAAATTTAAATATCGCACTGTGGCTCGTCGGTAACCGCGACTCTACGCAGATAAGGAAGACTCAGAGCCTCTGTTGTAAGATCCACGGGCGGGTCACGAACCTCAGGCTTAATTCCTGCCCGAGCTGTGGTACTAGAAATACGTTGTATGAACGAAATTCCAGTCCCCCGCGGCACTGATATCGATTCTCATAACACCCACTGGTGACCCTCATGGGAGCCAGCGATAAACATCGGTGGTTCTGTAAGCGATTTACATTTTCTGAAATTGTGAGTGAACAAAAACACTCATTTGTAAACTGATGTTACCTTGATGTCCAGACTTGATGAGACTTACGTGAAATTTTATATTACACTGTAATATTAACCTCGTAGTAATAATGCTAAATGAGCAAATACTGTTTGGCTTGTTGTTGATTATTTGTCGTTAAGGGATTTTGGACGTTTCGGGATATTATGAGTATGCATGTTTACTGCTTTAGAATTTCTGGTTATTCTTGACGGGACAGTTTACTAGTAAGTAATATGAAACGCTTGAATATATTTGCTTGTAATCGGGTCAAATTATTAAGTAACGAGCGGCTCTTGGTTTACATATATTAATTTTATGCTCTGATGTGTTATTTAATATTTCAGTTCGCCTGGTTCAGTTAGCACTTATCATCGAATGCTAATTAACTGTTAAAGATCGAGAGGAATTTCGTTTGAAACAAAAACCATGAAGATACCCACACTTCGGTGTAATTACGTGATGTAAATAATATTTCAGAAGCTTCGTCTTGAGATATGTTAATGATATTGAATTCTATTGTCTGTTACAAAATTGAGATTTTTATGTTGTTATTCTGTGTTTAAATGCCAGAACATGCCGCCTCCAACTTCAGGATCTGTTAGGAAATCCACACGACATTGCCACCCAGAAGACATATTCAGAGCCGCGAGCATTTCAAATCTAATATGGAGATTACGGAGTACTACCCGTGGTTGTGGCTACTGTATTTGCATAAGAGGTTCTTTGCAGCCCGAATTTTTTGCATATTAATTTGTGCCTCCAGACTGTGTTCTAAATCCGCTCTTCACCCCTCGTCATCATTCTGTCTCGCTTCTCTCCCCCCCCCCCCCCCCCCACGCGCCTACACGGCGGTGTTGTGTACCATTGGAATTAGCGCTTGGTTTGACTGGATGACTGTCTGTCCATACCCAACACAACGCACTGTGTACAGGATCGATTTGCCAATATTCCAGTACTAGCAGCCCTGCTTACACCACGCCCGGGGGTATTTCTCCGTATACCCAGTACATTTTTACACATTTTTTTTATTAAATATCTTCTTTCCATTTTATATCACGTAACTACGTCATGTATAATGTGTAATATGTATAAATCTGGATGTATCAAAGACCGTGCCTTGTTTCAAAATGTGTGTGACATAAATTTGTTCTTTTTAACGTGTGTTTGGGATTTTTTTTTTCGGACGAGTCAAATTACCCTGCAGCCCTGGAAATCGCCTTGCAGAATTTCTATCGTAATAGTGGAATGGCTCGTTATAGACCTGCAGTCCCGGAACGGATAGCAATGCGATGAGAAGAACATCATTCATAAAACCATGCAAACAGCTGTGCTGGGGGGCTGGAATTTGTCACGTGGTCCAGCGAGTCGTTACCAGAAACAGCCTTTCAAGTCCCATACGCTTTGTGACCCATTTTTCTCAAACGCTTTCGCAATAAAAACGTGCCAGCTTCGCCATGCCTGTCCATCTGTCTGCATGTTTCAACTCGAAAACCTCTGAACGGATTTTTTTTGTGAAATCTTACTAGAATTTTCTTAATTTCCAGACAATACTGGTTACATTAGACATCTTTAGAACAAAGGATGTAATTAAAATTTGTCGACTTATTCCAGTTTTGGTTGAAATCGGAAAATCGTAATGGGCTCTTTACGTCAAGGCAGGCATGCATCCTCTATTGCGGGCAGAATACAGTTTCTAGAAGTACGTCTAAAGGAGGTAGGGATAATGAAGAGAGAGAGAATAGGAAGGCAGGTAGAAGGTGATGAAGATAGGAAATAAATAATTTGCATCGAATTTAGACTGTCCTTTTCCATTAGCAGCAGTGGATTCTGAAGGAAAGGGATTTAAAGCGTGTGGCCTGGATTTAATTGGCTCAAGACAGTATTCTTGCTTGTTCTGAACACGATAATGAACCTTCAGGTTCCATTAAAAGCGGCCAGTTTATGGCCAACTGAGATACAATCATGTTCTCACGAGCGCCTGTTTCGTAAAGTCGCATAGTTGGACATACTTTGCCTTTAGCCGCCGTTACAAACTTTCATGTCGAGTACAGATTAAAACTCCACGAAATATGACCATTCTACTCCAAAACAGACTCATCGCAGCGTTTTCAAAACATTGGATTACTCGGTTTACGCAATATTTTATAATAAAAACACCCTTGTAATTAGGTTACTCTTTGTCATGAGATCTCAACTTCTAGATAAAGGTAGTAGTGAAACTCTGACGGGAATTTCAACTTGCAGGGACCATTGCGAACTTGTGACAGCGGTTTCCGGCTACATGATGCAATTTCGCACGTGTTTACGTAATAATTAGACGGTGTGTACTGAAGCTAGTACAATCCACGCAACTTCCACGCACCCATATATACATATACATTCTGCATGTAATTAAATTGAGGAAATCAGCTTCTGGAATACAAGGAAACTAACATAATCATATGCATAACCACCCTTCTGTCTATCCTTTCACATGGTGGAAAAATTTCGAAACGCAATTAGATGCACGGAAACAGGAGGATATAGCTTGTTTGTTAAGTTTAACGATGCGTTTATGCAAATCAGAATTCCGTAGTAGAGAATTATGCTCAGACAAGTTAGCAAGTTACATTTTTGCTGGTTAGATTAATCTCTGAACTTAGCAGCATGAATAATTTGATGTTTGAATATTTTCTTTTTGTTTGAGTGATTTTACGCGTGTTTATACGCAAAACGTAACTTGGTTCTTAGGCATGTTATTTTTATTTGTAGTGTTCTGTCTGACGACAGGTCCATATGAACAGGATCCTTCCATCCTTTTCTCGGACTGGGACCTGTTCATATACGTTCTTGGCAGATGATCCAGAAGTGGTTTGCCATTGCCTTCTTCTGTGTGTGAATGGAGTAATTGTTGGGATGCCCCGGAGGAAAACTCCGTGTTGCCTAGACCACGGCCTTGCCCAACACAAGTTATAAATTCGGGCACCGCCGGGAATCGAACCCGAGACCCCTGTCTGTCCTCTCGAGTGGCGTTTGTTATGTTTTTCGGCTGTAGAATGTTATCGGAACGTTTCAAAATAGCTAATTTATTTTACAGCACATGCTATATACCTGCAGATAATTTGTGGTTTGTTTAGATTGATGTATTTCTTATGAAACAGCGTATACGGTTTAATTTCATATAGGCATTTTGAATTGACATAACCTAGTAGTGTGATTTCCGCAATATTTTGCTCTCTGCTTTAAAATCCTGAACACACACAACCATTTTTCTGAACGTGAATTTGCGGAGAACATTATAGCAACAAAAGTCTAGAACTCAAGTAACACACAAGATATACATTTTAAATTACATTTGGTTTGCCTCGCATATGTGCCTAAGTCTTTATCTTCTGCGTCTTAAACCTTTAAATCACAATGGCGTCAGTCAGTTTCAACAACCAGCACCCCTGCAGTTCGCCTTCAGACTGTATTTATGGGGTTCGTGTAATTCCCAGAACAAACAGCGATTTCTCTCCTTCACTTATCAGTTGATCTTTGTAATGATAAAGTGTTTTCTTTGCGGTATGGACTGAATGTTTTAATATCATTTCGAGTAGATTCGTGGGTTAAACACTGCGTTTTAAGAGAAATTTGTTTTTTCACAACCCTCTAAATGAATGGTAATATCCTAAAAGAGATTTATTGAGCCACGTTGATTTTTATGGCCCAT